CGTACGGCGGCAGGCGCCTCGGACTGAGCCTCCGCAACTGACGCTCCAAGTCGTCAACTCGTTCGGTTAATGCCGACAGCTCGTCAGGAAGAGGTTGTACCGCAGCGAGCACATCATCGAAACCAACAGCAGCCTCGAGGCGACGTTGAGCGTGTACATCGCCGTGGAGAGGAGGCGCAACGCTGAGCTGCACTTGGTGACGAGCTATAGAGATCAAGTACGGAAATTGTCGAGGTCATCATGTGATCGACCGATGCCTCCGTATTTTCAGCCAGCATGGCGCGCAGCGAATCTTCACTGAGTGGTGGTGTACAACCAGCAGGCGCAGGAGGAGCAGCAGGAGCCATTGCCGCGGATTCAGCGACGACGGGGAGTGCTGCAGGAGCTACCGCAGGGAGTGAAGAGTCCGGGGAAGGAAGCGCCGAAGGACCAGTTGATGACGCCGCTGTCGGAGGAAGTGTAGCAGACTGAGGGACGTTCAAACCCTCGGTCTTGCCCTCCTGAGAAACAAGTCGAGTAATGCGAGGTGATGAGCAAGGTGCCGATGATTCCAGAGATTGATGAGCTGACATACCTCCAGCTGTTCACGTTCGCGACGTCTACGAGGATTGAGACGCTGAAACGCGTCGGACACGGCTCGATTCAGACGCTTGGACATACGGTGGCGAAATGGTGAATTGAAGAATGAAGAAATGTCGCAACGGGCACCAGTACCGTGGCTTCCATTGCGACATGGGCAGTTGTGGTGTAGTGATTTCTCCGTAGTTGCGGAATATCACCCGTCGACAAAGACGTGACACCGCCCAAGATGTTCAAGCAACGAACCCTCGGTCATGTGATGTACGGAGACGCCAAGGTGCAAGGGACTCGACGGCGTCACTCCCGAGCTTTCAACGAGTTTTTAATACGGCCATATGTCACTGAATCCAGGCTGTCCTTATTAATAATAATGGACTAGCCGGATTCGCATTCAGCGGACCATCTACGGTACGAACCCTCAGTGGCGGTTGGGATGAGTTCGCGGAAGACTCAGCGACCCTTGAAAGGGACGTTCACCGTCTGGGACAGGGCGCGAACCGTTAAAGATGCTCATGCGACGGTGCAGACGACGCTTGGCATGCAAGAAGATTCATAACGGATCATTGTTCACTTGATATTTGTATACTTGATTAGGACTACTTATTAGGAATAGACCCGGAAGGGTAAGCTTAAATACAGAACAGAATTTCCACTCAAGCACACAGAGCGACGTCCGGCTTCAAGGTAAGCGTCAGGTCAAGCTTGTTTGAGTATGTTATGCCTGTCGGTGAACTCGAAGCTCTGTAGCGAGGGTTCATCCGGCAAGGCCAAGAGACTTTGTGTATTGGCCGATTATTATCGGGAGGTTTTACGTGACGGCTTATTGTTGCCTATTTGCACGACTGGGAGTGCTAGTATTGCATCCCTTTTATTCTTCCAGCCGAGTGTTGAACACTCGGTGATCTCGTAAAAGGCTTACCCGTGCCTGGTACCCTTTCGATGTTGGGACCACGAGGATTCAAAACACCTGCTAGCTTTGCTCGTGCTAGTAGCGTGTTCTTATTTTTACTGGTTGGCCTATATAAGTAGTTTACAAGGTCCAGTTTGTCCCGGTGCAAGGGCAGAACTGGGGTCTTCAGGTCCGCCCGAACGATCGTTAACTATCCTAGTAGACGTATTGTTGTGGAAACATCCTAACTACATCTGTAGCTAGCGTTCACGTTGGGATTTCCAACACCACAACAGGGCCCCAAAAAACCTGGATCAACAAGCAAGATGGGATCTCGGAGATCGAGAGTTGGGGGGTTGTTTGGTCGACAAGAAAGTTTCGCTGCTACTTGGACAAGAGAAAGTTCGACTTGTACACGGATCATTCGGCTCTCACCTGAGTCTTCAGGCCTGGAAACCATACTACGAACGCGAAGTTGGCACGGTGGGTTATGGCTGTCCAATCTGCAGTTTAAAGTGCATCACAAGCCTGGGACGGCGATGGGGCACGTTGACGGTCTGTCTCGCCTGGAGGCGGAACAAGTTAATGCGTTGCGCATGGTCTACCTACTGAACCCAGAAGAAGAGAACTTAGACGGTCAAGACTCAGTCGGGGAGCCGGTCAAAAATCCCGCTGAACCTGAGCTAGAGACGGAACCGGAGAGCCCAGGAGCGAGAACGGATGCAGAAGAAAAGGAGGACGATTCCGCTGAATGGATTCCTGAATCTCCTATGGAAAGTTTTCGCTTAGACATAGAGCGGTTCAAGAGTGAACATCAATCTGTGTCGTGGAATAAAACGCTCGTGGTGTTCCTGTTGGATGGTGCCCTTCCGCGGAACCCTTTCCTACGAGCTCGCGTAGTACGGATAGCGTCTCGGTATGTGGTCTGCTGCGTCGGTTTGTCAACTTACCAGCGCGAGTCGGGTCGGCTCGTACGGTTGCAGTGCTAGTGGTACATCCGTCTTATGTGGCGACGATCCTTCACTACTGTCACGCAGACATCCATTTCGTCTCATTTGGGATTGACTAAAACGACGGAGAAGATTAGAAGGCTGTCTTACTGGCCAGGCTGGCGTAAGGATGTAACTGAGTTTTTGCAACAAGTGTGGCAGTTGGAAATGTTCTCGACCATGGAGCGCAGAATTAATGCAACAAATGCCGGCGGTCGAACTGAGGGGACCGTTCAATTTGCTAGTCGTGGATGCTATCGAACCGTTACCAGTGACGGAAGGTGGAAACCGTTGTATTCTTCTGTTCGTACACTACTTCACGAGGTGGGCTGAGCGGTCGCGGTGAAACGGCTAGACTCTGTGACATTTGTGGATGTGATGGTGATTGGCGTCGTCGCTCGACACGGACTTCCGTCTCGACTGTTGAGCGACAACGGTTCGAACTTTACGTCGGAAGTGGCCAAGTCCTTTTATCAGACACTCGGTATCAAGAACCTATACGGTGCCGCGTATCATCCGCAAACCCAAGGTCTTGTGGAACGGTTCAACGGTACTCTTATAGGGATGATGAAGATGCACGTGAGCTAAGCTCAGAACGATTGGGATGTATACTTACCACGGGTGTTATTTGCCTACCGCACCGCCTACCATGAAGCGCTTGAAGACCCCCCTTTCTTCAGCTTGTACGGACGTGACCCCGCGTTACCACTAGACGTAGCTTTCCTGAACCTCGGAACGAAGTTAAAGAGTAACAAAATGGCCCAGTATAGAAGGGAACTGTACCGTTCGATGTGTGACTCTCGCCACCTAGTGGAGCGCCAGCTTTTGAAGGCTCAAGACAGACACGCTAGGCGGTTCGAGGATCTAGTGGAGGCGACGTGGGAGATCCCGTGTGGGTGTACCAGATTTTCAGGGCTCCGAGAGGTGAAACGAGGACGAAGAAGCTCGCTTACTCGTGGCACGGTCCTTATCGGATCTCTAGCAAAGTCGGGGAGAACGGTTACAAGGTTGCGATCCCCACATATCCCGACAAACTGGTAACCGTGAATGTGAACATATTTAGTATGTATCGAGGAAAATGGACTCGACCGTTCTTGGACGAAGTACCGCCTGGCACTGAGGAGACCGAAGACGGAAGTAGTAATGGCCCCCTGGATGAATCCAACCTCCTGCCTTCAAGCTTTGTGGAACGGTTAACTGTTGCTCGAGAAAACACGATCTTAGTGGGAGTCGAAACGCCTTTACTGGAAGTGATGGCTAAAAGGATTGTGAACCGTACTATGGAATACTTGGTTCTAGCTGCAAACTACGAGACTTTCTGGCTACAAACAACGGTTTTGATGCTGACTTATGCCCGGTTAGTGATGTCTTATGAAGCCGCTGAAAGGAAGAAGAAGGGTTTGACAGAGTTGCGAAGAGGTGCTCGATTGGCCGACGCTAATGCGGAAGTCGACGAGGACGTGTTGCATTTGATATAAGTGAAGTGATGAAGTTTTCGAGTCAGCAAAGAACGGTTACTCTGTGGAGATTAGAACGGGCACTCGAAAATTGGATGGTGGTGCGTGTTGGTGAGTATTTTTTTTGTGGTTTCGGACGGAACGATCTGACCTACGGGAACGGAAAAGAGAAACATGATATCGTTTCTCTAAAACGTAAACCTCGTCACGTGGGAGTTTGAGAGTCGGAAGAAGTCGACGACGGCTTTAATGGCTTGCTCGGCTTGTCACCTGCGTCGAACGCCGCTCCATTATCGGTGGAAAGGGGGATTTTCAGCAGCCTCATCGTCGTCTCCTTCGTCATCTTGGTCGTCAACGTCTTCGTTGATGTCTTCTTGAGCCTTTTCCTTGTCTTCTTCGTCGTCGTGGTCGCTGCCAGGGTGGCCCTCGTCTGGCTCCTGGTCTTCGTCGTCGGATGAGAGTCCCAAGTAGTACGCTAGATGCTTGGTGGGAGAGCTTGGAGGCTGATACTTGACAGGCGGGGACGGATTCAGGGCGGTGGACTCTCCGTTTTCTTCGAAGTCGAATCATCTTCCCCTTGTTCGGACGGCTGGAACGGTCGATCATTGTGCACAATAACGGGTTTGCCTGCTGTCAGCAGCATGGCGACTTCGACCTGAGTCACTCGAAGAGAACGATTAGAGAGGAGCGTCTTCCATGGACCACGGTTGCGATTGCCGAACCAGCTCTCTTTCGGAGGGTTGCTGCCTGAAACATCCAAAGCTACACGATCCAGGGCCTTGACCGAAAGTCGCAGGTTCTTGGGGCGCGTAGGATCAATCGCCAGACTCTTTTCGAGGAGTTCCGGGATGGACCGGGAGCTGCTGCTGTCCACTTCGAAGGGATCGAGGGCGTTGGCGATAACTTGATCGTAACGGCGGCGATGACGGACACCGAGGTCTTCTTGGGCAGGGAATTTGGAGTCGTCGCTAGCCCAGCTGGCGTGCTTGGCGGCCCTGCCTCCGAACTACATGAGGTCGTTGTGGACGGTGTCTTCGAACGCCGTGAGTATCCCGTAGTAGCCAATCTCTTCGAAGAAGGCGCTCAACAATTGCAGACGTGCTTGGAGCGCGCTTGCCTTCAACTTGCGGCGGGCGGCAGCGTTGTCCGTCGGCGGATATAGCGCGAGGAGTATGAACAGAAGTCGGAAGCACATCCAGAAGCGTCATAGCTTCCTGTGAAGCTCGGGGTGGTGCTTGGGGTCGTACCAGACGCGGTAGCTCTTCCATACGTGGCGGCGGCTTTCCCTGTCCCTCCGAGAACTTTACGAAGCGCTTGAAGTCGCGCTCAATAGTGGAGTCTACGCCGGTGGGGAGATCAAACGCGAAGCGAGGTTTGGCCTTTGCCTTCTTGGAAGTGCGCTGTTTCTTAGCTGGAAGTGGCTGGAGCGGTGTACGCGAGCTGGATCGCTAGGTGCGAGTTTGAATGACCGGTGTTTGGAAGACGGAGTGCTCTCGGACCTGGCCGGCGGACATGCTATCTGGGGAAGGTAGGATGAGAGCAGCGCTGTCCAACGGGGCCTGCGAAGTATCGCCAGCGAGAAGCCGAAGGACCAGGCGGTCAAGGGCGTCAAGCACGACTGAGTGACAGTTGGCAGATATTACGGCTCTGAGGCGGCTCCAGAACTCGATCATGAAGTGAAGAGGGGTGGCGTCGTCCGCCCCTCTGTCTTCGTCGTCGAGGTGAGTGCGGAGTTGGTCTTCGACCGTCGGAGGCGTTCCTGACTTCTTCGACGACTTGGTTATGGCGGCGTGAAGGCTTGAGGGCTACTTGCGGAATGCCTTTTAAGAAGTCTGCCCCCTGTGACACGACAGGGGGTTGCGGTAATGATGGCAGACATGGTGGTCAACGATAAGAAGCCACCGTTTTGATAGTGATGTGATATGACGTGACCAAGGGACGGTACCTTGGCTGATGCGCAGCCAGGTAAATTTGACTGACGGCTAGTGACGATGGAGAACGGATGGATCGTGGGTGTGATGGATTTATTCCTCGATTGTCGAGACTGGCGATGGATTACGCGAGAGATGGTGTGGGCGTGGAGTCAAAACGCTGTCGTGTCGACGTGTAGTTTTGGAGTAAAACTGGTTCTTAGGCATGCCTGGGTGTAGGTCGCTGTGGCGAGTGGTATCTTGGCTTGGACCGTCACCGAACCTCTCAGAAGTATGGTGCTTCGACTTTTCTTTCGGGCGGCGACTTCGTATACAAGTGGGCTAATATGTTAAGACTTTGTATTTCGCGCTATCGCAGCTATGTACGCAGGCCTGCCATACAAGACCAGCTCTGGAAAACGAAATGGTGGAAGACCTATCAGGCCGTACTGGCTACTCCTATGGTGGTGCTCGCTGTGAGGAAAGAGCACTTAGACGGTCTAGGGCGTCTATTGTACAAGTGGTTGGACGCCCTGTATGCGTACTGGTGCATGTTCTTACCTAAGGCGGTGACGTTGGCGTGGAAGACGACAGTGAAGTCTTGGTACGGTTTTGCTGTTGAGCTCCAAAGAACGTGGGCTCGTGCATGGTTCGTTGTGCGTATCTGGTGAGCCGTGGTGACGCTGATCGTCTACGCTACTTCTACGGAGTGCTGTTCCTGTATGAGATTGTCGATGGTGTTTGTCTAGGGTGGCCTGGAGTAGCGGTTTTAACGGTGACGACGAATTACAAGTTTGCGAGTAATGAGGGCATCTTCGTCAACTGTGGGGTTGTACTACTCGACGGGTGCGTCCTGGTGCTTGGCGTTGTTAGCCATGTGTGGATGTGTGGCGTTGGTACGAGTATACGTCGGAAGGACGTTCGCCGCTTGCTGTGGCCCAGGACTGCAATGACGGTTGGATCCGTGATATCGAGGAACAAGAGCAAGCTGACCGTCTTAGCGAAGCATTCCGGCGAGCGGGTGGAGGTTCTGCGGAGCCCCTCGTCAGCAAGTACGCACGTTGAGTGGAATACAAGCTGAACGATGAGCTTTGCGAGCTAATATGAGGGATTCTGAGAAGGAAGGCTTTGCTAGGCGAGCTCGACCAGGGCGTCGAGATTCAGTCGAGGAGGATGTTCCGAATGAGAGCGGTGGCAACCGTCTTGGGCACCGTTCCCGTTCCCCCTCTGGAGTGACCTGCGACCCGCCACTTGAACTCGTACGGCAAGAGGATGAGCGGCCGCCAGGTCGCTCGAATTAACTCTGACATTGTCGGATTCTATTGTCCGAATTGGGACCTGACCCCGTCGCATCTGGAAAGAGGGCTACTCTACCTGTTGAATACGTCGTCTGAGGTGCCGCTATGGCTAAGGTATTACCTGTCGTCACTGTGATGTGCTAGGTCCCTAGGACGGACGACACGGACTACCACAGTACTGGAACGTATGCGAAGGACAGTGAAGCGAAGGGTGGAACGTCACCGGCAACAGTGTACCCAAGGACGTGCTGACGTGCGGTCCGACTGAGTAGAACTACGATACGGGTGACATTGTTAGCGATGTGAGTTTGGTCAGTCGTGAATTTTGCCTGGAAACCTCGAGTTGACTTAATACATTTGGCTTAATATTATTAATATTGCCATTTGTGGCGACTTGGATAACTACTTTTTACCTCACACGTCTAGAGCTCGCTACAGTTGATCAGCGCAAGCGTCCCGTTCCAGGGCGACTCGCGACACCTTGCCTTCACTCTCACAATTGTCCCGGTTGATTAGTAATCCTTCAGCTAGTCGAACGCTAACGACTTCTGGTTGGTGGATTTAAACAAATTACGCTTTCTTGAAAACATTTTATTATCGTTTTAACTAATATTAAGTTGATATTTACTGATTTCATTTTGTCTCAGAAGAAAATATTAGGTGATATTTTTTAATTTAACTGGTCTACAGGTGATATTTTCACAATGTTAACTTCACCGATTTTTGGAGTTACCATTAACCCCAGCATGTAATATCGTGTTAGCTAATATTATGTTGGGTCGTGTTCGTTGGGCAGATAATACATAGTACCAGCAACATAATATGTATTATACCTAACAAACACGTTGCGTCATAATACGTATTATGTGGTGCTGGAATTCCCACGTGAACTCTAGCTACAAATGTAGTTAGGACGTTCCCACAACAATACGTCTACTAGGATAGTAAACGATCGTTCGGGCGGACCTGAAGACCCCAGTTCTGCCCTTGCACCGGGACAGACTGGACCTTGTAAACGGCTTATATAGGCCAACCAGAAAAATAAAAACACGCTACTAGCACGAGCAAAGCTAGCAGGTGCTATAGATCCTCGTGTTCCCAACAGCGGACGGGTACCAGGCACGGGTTAGCCTTTTACGAGGGCACCAAGTGTTCAACACTCGGTTGGAAGAATAAAAGGGATGTGATACAAGCAATCCCAGTCGTGCAAATAGGCAACAATAAGCCGTCACGTAAGACCTCCCGGTAGTAATCGGCCAAAATACACAGTCTCTTGGCCTTGCCGGATGAACCCTTGCTACAGAGCTTCGAGTTCACCGACAGACATTACACACTCAACCAAGCTTGAGCAGACGCTTACCTGAAGCCAGACGTCGCTCTGTGTGCTTGAGTGGAAATTATGTTCTGTATTGAGGTTTACCATTTTGAGTCCATTCCTAATAAAAAGTCCTAATCAAGTATACAAATATCAAGTGAACAATGATCCGTTATGGATCTTCTTGCACGTCAAGCGTCGTCTGCACCGTTGCATGAGCATCTTTAACGGGTCGCGCCCTGTCCCAGATGGTGAACGTGCCTTCCAAGGATCGCTGAGTCTTCTGCGAACTCATCCCAACCTCCACCGAGGGTTCGTACCGTAGAAGGTCAGTTCTCGGCCGCTGAATGCGAATCCGGCGAGTACACTGTTAATAATAGGGACAGCCTGGATTCAGTGACATATGGATCGTATCCAGTAACCGTTGAGAGTTCGGTACTGACGCCGTCAAATCTCTTGCACCTTGGAGTCAATTTACATAACATGGCCGAGGGTTCGTCGCTTGAGCATCTTGGGCGGTGTCGCGTCTTTGTCGTGAACCCCCATCAGCCTGCCACACTTCCTTCGATGGCAACGTCGTCAGCTAACCCTCCGACGCTTCCTCCCCCGGACTCTTCACTTCCTGTTGCAGCTCCTACGGCACTCCCTGTCATCGCTGAATCCCCGGGGATGGCTTCTACTGGTCCGCCTCCGTCTGCTGGTGGTCCTTCACCACTCACCGAGGATTCATTGCGCGCCATGCTTGCTGAAAATACGGAGGCGTCGGTCGATCATATGATGCCTTGCTATTTCCGTCCTTGACTGCGATGCCTCGTCACCAAGTGCAGCTTAACGTTGTACCTCCTCTTCACGGCGATGTCCACACTCAACGTCGCCTCGAGACCGCCATGGGCTTCGACGAAGTCCTCGCCGCCGTACCGCCTCTTCCTGATGCGTTGTCGGCATTGCCCGACCGAGTTATCAGCTTGGTGCGTCAGCTGCTGGCTGTCCGTACCGAGGCAGCTGTCGCCGTACGTTCGGAGGCACCCGTAATCATGGCTCGGGAGAACGCGGAGGCGTTCCTCAAGGCTGCCAGCGCCGAAGACGAAGCGCTTCGCAAGGACGTCAAGATTCTCCGCTAATCGAACGCCAAGAACGGTGCCATGCTCGCGAGTGTTCAGTCCACCATGGAGCAACACACATAAGGCTTGAATCGTCTGCACTGCGAGGGCCAAGCGCGGGACGCGTTCATCGCCACCTTGAACAAGAAGCTGGCCCGTGAACGCGTAGTGTACAAGTCTTCGATTAGCGCGAACACCGAGCAGACTCGCCAGCTTCATCGCCTCTTGGACAAGCTTTCCAAGGGCTAATATATCGACAACGACACGCTCAAGGTCCTCCAGAATCAGCAAGCTCGCAACACCTACCTCCTTCAAGTTAATCGTACTCTCCGTGCACACATGAGTCTGGCCGGGATGGGTCCGGTGGTCCTGCGTCTGGCTGTTGATGGTAAGTACCTCATGTTGTTCTTTCCACCGTGTGTTCAGCGACTAACGTTCATTCACAATCTCCTGTGACAGGTCTCACCGCCGGTGAACTGGATCTGGACGCACTGGACTTGACCCAGGAGACATTGGTTGTTTTGCGGCGCATCCAGTCTGCCGCCGCGTCTTCGGACGATCCTTAAGCTCTTCCTGCCGCTTTGGCCAAGGCCGCTCACCAAGTGGCCCATGGGAAGTCCCATAAGCGCCTTTGACCAGGTGGCGAGGATTCAGACGACGAGCCGGACGACTCTGATGAAGACAAGGCTCCAATCCCGACGGACAAGGCCAGTACTTCGATGGCGGCTGCCGGTCTCGGTTAGACGCCACCTGCCGATACTTCAACTCCAAAGTCGGCTCGTAGATCGCTATTCGGCCCGAAGGCGTGGAAGAAGGCGGCCCAGAAGAAGCACAAGAAGACTCGTCCTCGCTCTCCCGCCAAGGCGCTTCGACGTCATTTGAAAACTCGGTCTAAGCCTGTACCGTCTTCACCTCGCTCATGGTCGCCACTTCACACGTCAGCGTCATCCTTGACTCCCGCCATTGTTGACCTCATCGGTGACCAGAGTGACGTGGACATGGTGGATGTTGGTGCAACTGGGGTCCCGTCGGCTCAAGATATTGCAACCG